GAAGAAATTCTGACTAACTAGCGCGTCCAAAAGAGGAGATTCTGCTCAACTTTTCGTTCTGCAAACCCGAATATAATAAGCAGAGCAAGCTCTGCTAATAAGTTTAGAGAGATAAGAATAGCTAAAAGCAGTCTAGCTAAGTAACTAAGAGTAGACAACAGCTATCTAAGGCATTAATGTTAAAAAGTAGGCTATTCTACTCTTTATTATTTTTTAAACTAGTAATTACTTTTTAAACTAGTATAAAAAAATCTACTTTAAAATTAAGTTATTATAGTCTTTAAGCGCAGCTAGACTACTAATTAGCTTAGTTTAAACTAGTTAAAGCACTTTAACGCGCATATAAAGAAGTGTACTATTAGCAGCTACTATCTGCTAGTTATTAACAGCTATAAAAGCTATAACTTACTTTATTTTTAGTAATACTATAAAGATAATAAAATTATTACTATTTATATACTTTTTTACTTTTTATACTTTTTATAGCTACTTAATGTAGGCTGTTTTACTTTTTTTTAAAAAGTGTATAGGCGCTAAGCTAAAAACTTTATATATAACTATATTACTTTTAGTAATATCTAAGAAAAGTTTTTAAGTGCTAGATTAGTTTCTTTTAACTTATAATAAGTTATAATAAGCTTTAATATAAAGTTACACACTTTATTACTACTACAACTTACACATAATAAGCTCTAGTAGTTGTAAACTCTAAGTAATACTTTAAAACTTAAGTTACAATTAATACTTATAAGAATAATAATTTAAAAGTATAGAAATAGTTTACTAACTTCTATAGTTAAAGCGTTTAAAAAAGTTTTAAAAAAGGTAGTAATAATTATATATAAGCTAGTGTTAGTATAATAAAAAATTACTAAGCTTTAAAAAGCTAATAAGGCTACTATATAACATAAATTACATAAAAAAAAGTAGATTAAGGTAAAAAAAACTTTAATAATTTAGAAAAGCTTATACTTAATAGCTTTAAAGAAGTTTAAAGCGCGTAGTAATAAAAAGAAGGTAAAGAAGCAGGTGTAAGCTAAAGTAAGTAACTTATTCTAATAGCGCTGCAGATAGTGCAATTAGACTAGGCATAACATGCAAATGTGTAAGCAAGAAGCAGAAGTAGTATCTAAATAATATTCTAGGCTGTACTATACTATATAGTGCTAGAGCGGGTTGTTATAGGTGTCACGGTATCCTCCCCGGATCCCAGACATAACTATATTAGACGCGTACTAGAGTATTATTAGTGCACGTCTAACATAAACACAACACAACACAGACATAAACTTAAGCATAAACTGCCTTAACACTAAC